TTTAAGTTGTCTTACATTTCCCTGTTGTTTAAGTTAGGATGTTTTGGGATGAAAATAAAAGATTGAATTCAAAAAGGCTTAAAACATTAGAGAATTTATTATTTTGTATAACATTAAGTCCAGGCATCTACAAAGACAAGAATGTATTCAAAATCCAGATAAAAACAAAAATTAAGAGATTTCTGGCTATAGCCCAGTGTAAAGGTTAACAAATTCCCTCCCCAAAAGTAACTATAAAACTGGGTAAAACTGACCAAAACAACTGTTTCAGCACTCTAGAAACTGACTCAAAGGCTCATAATCTGAGAGGTTTTTATGCTTGAAAACTACTGAATTTTAGCAAAGAACAGTGGGAACAGAAGCAAAAGTGCCACAAATAACTGGCAACCAATACTCTGTCTCAAGTGTCAGGGGAAATAGGGACAGGTGGAGACTGGTGAACTAGAGCACTTTTGCCCAATCTACAGAGGGCAGGAATATTGGGCTCCAACCAAAGTCAACAGTAATCATGGTCCCAGATTCACAGGTCTTCAAGTTTAAGAAAAGTTAGAAATCCATATTTCAACCTAATATCTCAAAATTTTTAAGTGTTGGCAACTTTTTAAAGAAATTTTATGCATACTGTACAGGGCACCAGTTTCCAATCTTTGCCCCCATGCACTCTAACCTCAGATGACCAAATGCAGTCAGGCCTCTGGCAGACTCAGCATTATCTACCGTACTGTGATTTGCAACGACATCATTTGGTCAGTCATTACTTTTTCAGCTTTTCTCTTTTCAAAAGGTAATGTTCTTCATTTGTAAACAGAGCTAATGCAACAGCCTTGTGGATTAATCCACCTTTATTTATTCTCTCCTGTCACTTTTAGTTCCGTTAACTAAGCCGGAGTGGTCCACAGAGGAGCAATAATGGGCAGGAGGCCCAATGCCAGAGGAGGGGAAATGGGAAGAGCCAAGAATCTGACATCAATCTGACCTGGCTTGGAATACTGAGCTCTGCCATTGACCAGCTGTGGGAACTTGGGCAACTTATTAACTTATTTGAGCCTCACTGTCATCATCTGAAAAATAAGGACACCATCATCTACCCTGGAAAGTCACTGCCATGTTTTCATCATGCAGCAGCTCCAGCAGCTCTGTACCAATGCCTGAGCTTTGTGGGTACTTTCTCACAGAGCCCCTACCACAACCCTGCAAGTCAGAGTCTGCTATTAACCTTACTTTGCACATGAGGAAACACAAGCTCAGAGAGGAGGGTGCCCAGAGACCTCGTGTAACAGCAAGGATTTCAAACCTGTCATCTGACTCTAGAGTCTGATATAAACTGTTAAATTACATAAAGAGCCTTGCCCAGCAGCCAGCAGGGATGAAGAAATAGGACAATGCTCATTTCCACCAGATTTCATTATCTCCATTCTGCCTAAAAGGTCATTCCAATGGCTATGAGAACATCCTCAAGAAGCCATTGATCTGATCTTTCCCAGCTCTTAGAAGCTTTTAATCACACATTCAACAGCAGGAAAGAGGTTTTAATCAGCCAAGGACTATGCTGCACAGCTTAATGGTTAATTAACACTGCCAACAACGATGGCAAAAGCCCTTGGTAGCCACTCAAGAGCTAGCCTGGTTTGCACTTTCCCCTTCTTCTAATTGTCTAGGAAGCGCCCCAGGACATCTACACAGTAGAAAACAGAGCCAGAGACTCCTTCATCAGTCTCTTTGGGTTGTATGTGCAGAAATCATGCTAAGATACAGGGAGGTGGCAAGAATGTGAGTGCTGGAGATGCCTTGTAAACGTGTTGGTTTTTCTCTTGAATTGGTGCTTCAGGATTCTTAAGAGTATAGTCCCAGCAATGGAACTGCTGGGTTAAAAAGCAGTTCCATTTTTAGTTTTCTGAGGAAATTCCATACTGTTTTCTGCAGTGGCTGGACCAGTCTGCATTCCCACCAACAGTGCACTAGGGTTCTCTTTCTTCTACAACCTCGCTAGCACTTGTTGTTTGTTGATTTGGTTATGATAGCCATTCTGACTGGTGTGCACCCCAATGTTCATAGCAGCACAATTTACAATAGCCAAGTGCTGGAAGCAACCTAAGTGCCCATCAGTAAATAAGTGGATAAAAAACTGTGGTACATTTACAAAATGGAATACTATGTATCAGAAAGAAAGAAGGAGCTCCTACCCTTTGTGACAGCTTGGATGGATCTGGAGAGAATTATGCTAAGTGAAATAAGCCAGGCAGTGAAAGACAAACACCATATGACCTCACCTATAAGTGGAACCTAATCAACAAAACAAACAGGCAAGCAAAATGTAACCGGACACATCAAAATTAAGAACAAACTGACATTAACCAAAGGGGAGGGGATAATGGGGGGAAAGAGGGAAAGGGTTGTCAAGGAACATGTATAAAGGACACATGGACAAAACCAAAAGGGGGTAGAATTGAGCATGGGAGGTGGGGATGGCTGGGGTGGGCAGGAGTGGTAGAGAGAAAATGGAGACAACTGTACTTGATCAACAGTTTTTTTAAAAAGGGGGTGGGGGAAAATGTGTCGGTACTTCTCTGATTATCAGGGCCAAGTAACAAAAAGATAAGAAGTATAGTCTGGATGGGAACAGAAAGAGCCATTCTTCATGACTAAAAGGTCAGAGCCCTAAGAGGGATGAGATGGAGGAAGACGTTCACAGGTAAAGGGTGATAAGGAAAGAGGACAACTGGTTAAACATTTATACACTGAAGAAGGTCTTTACATGCGATTCTCACTGAACACCCCTGACAAGCCCCCAGGTAAATGAGACTATCCACCTTTACAAGTGAAAACAACTAAGGTTCCAAATGTTCCCAGGGTCCTATCAGAGTCACTCTCACAGTCTGACCCCAAAGCCAGGGTCACCTCTGCCAGCAGGTGCCCTCTCCTGGATGGAAGCAGAGCCAGAGCCTCACTGATTTCATTAAGGTAGCTCCCCAGCAGACAGCTAAGATAGAAACAAGAAGAAGCACAAGGGCCAAGAAAGCCAAAGGGGTCTATGGAAAAAGTTATGTCCTTGAACAGCTCGTAACCAGTCCAGTGCCCTCAGCCAAACCCATGCAAGGGCCCATGAAAGCATGCCTGGACATGAGACAACAGAGACTGACATCTACTCAGATTGAGGTGACCACACAGTTAGCAGTGGTTTCCAGGAAAACTGAGGCCATTGATAGTGGTTCTTCCCTGACCAGCCCCCCTGCATCCATGACTTTTAAAGGAGGGACCCAAGAGCACAGGAGAAAAATCAACAGTGACGGGAATCCCTCTTGCAGCTTTCCCCTGCCCTGCCAAGAACCACATTCATTTCTGAAAATGAGCAACTGGGGAGATGAACAGGAATCAAAGATTTGAAGGGCAGAGAGGAAAAGGAAGATACATCAACATGAGGAAGAAAGCAAGAATAGCAAAGGGTTCCATCAGCAGAGAATTTCCACCGACACCTCAACCAAACATGGCGAGGACTGATTTTTAGCTGTGAAAAGAGGCAACCTAGCCAAAAATGACACATTTTATTCAGCAGAGACACTAACACCATCATGGTAACAAGATTTGGGAAGTTAGGGTTCCAACCACAAGCAACATCCGAAAAAGCGTGCTCTTTAAAATGTAGGGGAGGAGGAAAACACAGGGCAGGGCTTTTTTTTTGGGGGAGGATCTTTTTTATGTATACTTGTTTTATTCATCATTTGTCATATTTTAGGGTACTAAAAGTGATGCTAATGGTTGAATTGAACAAAAAAAATTTAACTTCATCTTAAATTTACGGATCCATTTCATTCAATGTCAATATTCAATGTGAAAAGGAGCATAAAAACAAACAGGTACACAGCTGCACACTTTGCATAAAGGTCTATTTCATTATTGGTGGGTAGCGCACTCAGCAGTTAAATGCGTTTAAATAACGTGCAGGGAACTGCACACAGCAGCACTGGTGACTGGGCAGACACCCAAGTCAACTGAAACCGGCTAACAAGTAACTGCCTACATAGTTAACATGCAGCCCTTGGTTGGATCATCAACATAAGATAGCTTTTATATGACAGGGTACTCTCTAAGGTTCACGTCCAAAGCAAGTCACTCTCAGCAAGTGTCCTAATCTGTACAGTGGAGAAAATTAAGGTCCTACAATTCACAGGGCTGTTGGGAGAACTGAACAAATTAATTTATACAGAAGACTAATAAAGTGCCAGGCTTGCACTAAATACTTGTAAGTGTTAATAGTTATTATTAGCATTATCTCTGTCATTCAGAGACACAGGAGCATGGCGCATGGGAAATGCTTTGACAACCCTAAAATGGATGATAACAGCACTTACAAGCTCAGAGACCTGTGTGATTTCTGTTGCTGTTATTGAAGACAGATTTAATTATGAAATACCATGCTATTCCCATGTATAATATTAAAAGAGATGATTAACTTCCCAGCAAATGCCACACACATTGATGAAATAAGCACCTCAGCTGCAGGCCCCCAAGCCCCTCAAAGACTACATGTGGCTCCAAGAATTCTGCACAAAGGATGACTTCATTTACATTAAGATGCCAGACGAGCCTAGCTTGTGTAGCTCAGTGGATTGAGCATGGGCTTCGAACCAAAGGGTCACTGGTTTGATTCCCAGTCAGGGCACGTGCCTGGGTTGTGGGCCAGATCTCCAGTACAGAGCTCATGAGAGGCAACCACACAATGATACTTCTCTCCCTCTCTTTCTCCTTACTTTCCCCTCTCTCTAAAAATAAATAAATATAAGATAAATTAAAAATAAAATAAATAAAAATAGTCTTAAAAAAAAAAGATGCCAGATGACACCATCATGGACAATCCTCACACGTGATTTCTGCACCACCACAACCACCCCACCCCACCCACCAATCCCACAGTGACTGCCTTGCTGGCCACTAAAATATAAATAAAAATAAAAAGAGAGAGCAAGAGAAAAGACAGCATTGTCTGGACCATCAATCAGTACCTGTTTCAGTTTTGCTGGAGAAGCCCGCTGCCTGTTTGATCGCAGCTGCTGTTAGTGCTAATCCTCGACTCCTCTTCAAGCCATGCTGTAGGACAGCCTCAAACTGGGCACACAGACAGGTCACCCTGTGAGAGAACCAATGATTCATCAGTCCACCCTGTGAAGGGAAACAAACAAGCAGAGTGGCCCCAGCACCTCTGGGGAGCAAGTAAGTTGCCAGGTGTGAAGGAACATACTAGACGCCTGGATTTACAGGCAGGAAACTGCCTTGGGGCACTCCACACAGGTCTCCCCATGTCTGTTCATTTCACGTAGCTCAGGGAAGCCCAACTTCATCTAGCCATAATCATTATACTGGTGAAAGCATAACAACAATTCACAAGAAACAAGGGCAAATGGAATTGGTGCCAGGCAGCAGGGAAGTGGGAAAAAAAAAAAGCCAATTTAAAAGCAAATCAGTTTGGTGTAGGGAGGGGCAGGGTGTTAATTGCATTCAATTCACACATTTCAACTCAAATTCATATCACATGTAGTTTAAGGAAAAAGATTATCTTTTAAGAGATTAAATTCACCAGCCTGCCAAATTGGAAACACTGTGTAATTTCATGGCCTGTTACATACGCTAAAGAAATAATATGAATTCTGATTCTTATTCTTTTGCTGTAAGAGATTACATTTGAAGTCAGATCCAGAGTTGATGAAATTTTCATTCAAGTTACAATTACTGTGCATTCAATTGAATTCATTTCTCAATAACCAAAGAAATGGGAGATTCAGGAACATGTTTGCAAAGAGATGAGGTCACAGCAACTACACTCTACTTTTAACAATCCTCCCAGCACTCCTGGGTCCCCAGACCAGTTGGATCCATGGATTTCAGAGACCCTTCTATTCACTTGTGCAACAAATATTAAGAAATCCTGAGCTTCTACATGCCAGGCACTATTCAAGGCTCTGATGATATGAAGGTGGGAGTGAGACATACAAGGTCTCTGCCTCATCACATTTGCACAGTTCTAATGGGGGAGATACACAAACAAATAAGCTAACCAAACCATTTTAGTTGAAGAGAACTTTGGAAAAAAAAAAAACAATGAGGTGATAAGTGGAGACAGGGCATGGATCAGCTTAAACGCTGTGGCGTGAATAAATGTACCCTCAGAATTAAAACCTGGATATGACAAGAGGCAGCAGGCTGGGCAGAGGAGCCCAATGCAAAGGTCCTGTGGCCACCACCATCCATGCAAACCTTGCCTAAGTGCAGGCATTTCCTGCCCCACCTACCCCCACACCTGTAATAATAACACTCCAAGGATTTATTGTTCTGTGGGTGGTAAAATATTTTCATACCCATGATTCATTAATTAGTTCCTCTCATCAACATTATCATATAGTTAAGGCAAGTATTGTTATCTTCATTTTACACTTCAAGAAACTGAGGCTTAAAGACATTTAAGAGGCAGAATACAATAAGTACATAATTAGCAGCAGCATCTATACTCCAGCCCTATGCATCCCCACACAGGTCCAAGGCAGTTTCTGCTACACCCCATACCACCAAGACAGGCTTTATTCTAAGACAAACGTCCTCTCCCTCCCAAACCCAACCTCTCCTGAAGTCATCTTGTCTACACCAGAAAATCCTAACACAGCACCAGCAAATACCAGCACTTAAAACATTTTACTCTCAATTCTGTGCCCACAACAGACATCACTAATCCACCCTGGCATTCTAGGTTACCACTGCCAATGATCAAAGCTTGCCCTCCATGAGAAGGAAGCCTATTTGACATCCCAAACCTAACACTTGTCCTCAACTACACTATTTGGTTTCCAAGTCCTACCTTATCTTCCCGATTCCTCTTCACGTAGTACATTGCATGTGCTACACAAATGCTTTTTTCAGTGGGTATGAAGTGGCTGATTAGTCTTGAACCAAGGATCCTGGAATTCTCCCCCATATTGAAACAACCCTTTTTGCTGGGTATATGTCACTCTTCAGTATTACATGTGTATATGAGGGGAAACCCAAAAAAACAGAATTCATTAAAAACTGTGCATTTATTCTTACATGTTTAAACTTCAGCCACATTCAAAGTACTCCCCATTTGATGCAGTACACTTATTGAGACTTTTTCCACTGCTCAAAACAGTTTTTGAACTCGTCAATTTTGACGCCTCTTAGTGTTTCTGCCCTTTTTTGTTTCACCTCTTCCACAATGGCAAAACCTTTCCCTTTGAGGACTTTTTCATCCGGGAAAACAAAAAGGAGTCGCTGGGGGCAAGACTGGGTAAACAGAGAGGGTGAGGCCCAGTAGTCATTCCAATTTTGGTCAAAAACTGTGGGCAGGTGTGCTCATAAATCACCCATCATGAAATGAACAAATGCATTGAAAGAGTCTTCAAAAAAAAAAACCCCACTGAAGCCAAACACAGCCTCTCACAACAATGCCAGCTGGTACTGATACAGAAGGGTTCCTAGAACACTCACCTAGCAGGGGAAACCTGTACCACAAGGGGCCTGCCCTCCAGAAGATAATTCCAGCTTTATGGGGTCACCCCTCATATACTAATCTCTTTACATATCCATGCAGACACATATTTTTTAGGGTTTCTTAAAAGCTGGGACACCAAAACTATCTAAATTCCACAGAAACCAAAACAGGGGCATACCAAAATGCAGCCTGACCAGGGCTCTGTCTTAGGGTGGAAAACCAAAACAAAACCCTGGGCTGTGTTTACAGTTCTTCACAATAAGCCATAGCCTGCCTGTACCTTTAAGTGAATCATCTGCAAATACAATGATTAACTCAGCAATCCCTGTCAGTTTGCCTGCCTCCAATGCACAAGTAGGTAACTGCCCTGACAACTCTGGATAATACCAGGCCCCTAAGGGGAATGGAATGTGGGTGAACAGCACAAACCCAGTCCCTAAGGTTTGGATTACATCAGCAGTGTTCCCTTCCAGATGCACACAGGTCATAATCAACCAAACACAGCAGAAAACTGGGTGGGCAATGGTCCTATAATTAGTTCATTATGATGCCTGCCTTGACAAAGGCCATTCTACATTACACAGTCCCCACATTCCCTTTTCATCTCCCCATTTAACCTGAGCTACTGGTCATTCAAGACAGCAAAATGGTCTCCTCCTCCAGGAAGCCTCCCTGAATCCTTCCTCATTCTGAGCTTCTTTCTACTACAGCTCTTGGCCAATCCCTCTGTTACGGATCTGCTTTTCACAGCTGTCTCCTCTTGGTAAGTTAAGCAAGGGTCATGCCTCATTCATCTTAGTTGCCCCAGCATCCAGCACGATGTCTGGCTACTGTGGGTAGCATTACCAAAATGAGTTCTCCCCTCAGGGAACTCAGAATATGGACTTGATAATATATTTAGGTGAGAGATGCATCTCAGGAGCTCTTGTATAATTTGTAATCCAAATCCAGGTCAATTAAGGCTAGAGAATCAAGGAGAAAAGACATGTCCAACTTTATGAATCTTCAGCCCTTCAGCTTGTGGTAAGCACACTATAGGCACTGATTTATAACCATGTCGCCTTAAGGTTTTTCATTTCTTCTCATCTTAATTCAGTGATATGATAATTCCTGCAAAATGAAAAGGGCACTTGCTTTAACAGAGCTCTCTATTTTCTTATCGCAGGCTCTCCTATTTTCCAGAATGCTCTCTGCTAAATGCTCTCTGGCAATACTGTAATGGGTTGACTGCCTCCATGGCATTTATCACATCTAACTTTTATTATATGATTAATGTACTGGGGCATGTTTTTTAATTAAGTGGGGCGCTTAATCAACAGTGAATGTTTTAATGTTTTCAAAAGCACCAAGCAAGGAAATCGCTTCAAGTTTTTAGGCATACAGCTGTTTACCAGAGGAATGGATAAATAAAACATGGTATATTGCCCTGACCCATGTGACTCCGTTGAGTGTCGTCACGCCAAGTGAAAGTTTCAAGTCCCACTCAGGGCACATGCCTGGGTTGTGGGACCAGTTCCAGTCAGGGCGTTTATGAGAGGCAACTGATTGATGTTTTCTTACACAATGATGTTTCTTTCCCTCCCTTTCTCTTCCCTCATTTCCTCTCTCTCTAAAAATCTAAATAAATAAAGTCTAAACTATATAAATTTTTAAAATGTGGTGTATCAATATAACGGAATACTATTAGCAAGAAAAGACATGAAGTACTGACACATGCTACAACACGGATGACCCTGAAAATATTATGCTAAGGGAAAGAAATCAGACCCAAAAGCCGCATGTATGATTCCACAAAATGTTGAAAAAAAAGGGAAATAGAAACTGAAAGTCGATTAGTAGCTACCTAGGGCTGGGAGTAAAATCAGGGGTAAACTGTAAACTGGCACAAGGGAACTCTTTGGGATAATGAAAATGCTCTAAAACTGGATTGTATGGTGATGGTTACACAACTCCATAAATTTACAATTAAAAAACACTGCACTGTACACTTAAACAAGGTGTAGATTTTTATGATATGCAAATTAGACTTCAATAAAGCTGTTTTTTCTGAAAACTTCTACCAGGGTCTCAACAAAAGTTTGATGAAGACATGAAGGAGTTAATAAATAAAAAATGACATAACTCCCTCCTGCTGAATTGATACACCACTTTTTTCCTATGAGGAAAAAAATCCTCATAGACAGACAACAGTGTGGTGATTACCACAGGGAAAGGTAGGGGGGACAGGCAGAATTCAGAAGCACAGCTGGACACTACATGAATTTAACTAGTTGAGTGCAAAATTCTGCATGCATCAGTTTTCCTGAACTTTGTCCTGGATTTCAAGGCTGCTTAATCTGCCACATTAGTCTATAGTAAGATTCCTAAGAATCCTGCCTTTCTTTATGGCAACTATTAGAACAACAGACAGAATCAATAGTAAATGCTGCATTTTTACAAACTGCATGAAATTAACCTTGTAACAAAAGGGTATATTTCAAATTAATCCTTTTACTACATTACAACTTTACTGGAACATTTTGGGAAAGATCAAGTACAAGCATGAAAATGGACTAAATTATCCACATCTGGAAAGCTCCAATGTCACCTGGAATGGAGTCAACTGTGCCCAGAAAAATCAATTAGTGGCA